TTTCCCTATATAAACTATAGTAAACTTTACCCCCTCCCCAAGGGAGAACGGATAGCTCGGGGGTCCTGAAATTTACAATTTAAATAAAGCCCCTGATGATATTTCCATCCATGCAGAGAAAATGACTGTAGTATAGGACTCTGAGTCTGGGGAAGAAGATTTTTGAAAAATTGGTTAAATTTCCCTTTGGGCCCCGCCCTGGCCCCTAGGGTTGGGGTAGGAATCCCAATTTTACAATTTGGTAGCCTCATCTACCAAGGATGATTCTGACCAAGTTTGAAAAAAATCCATCCACTGGTTCTAGAGAAGAAGTTGATAATGTAAAAAGTTTACGCACGGCGGACAACGGACGGCGCCGGACGGAAAGTGATTGGAATAGGTCACTTGAGTAAAGCTCAGGTGACCTAAAAAGGCCAGTTCTACCTTAGGCTTCCTACAACACTGTCCCAGAGAATGTAGAAAGACTGCATACATTGCTCTTGTCAGATCCATCTTAGAATACGGAGCAATAATCTGGGACCCGTACATAAAGACGAACATTAACAAATTGGAAAGCATCCAACGGAGAGGGGCGTGTTTCATCCAGAAGGATTACAGAACAAGGGAAGAGGGAGTCATGACCAAACTACTCAAGGAGCTACAACTTCCACCACTAGCATCAAGACGAAAACAACTGAGACTAACATTCTATTATAAAATAAGTAGAGGAGCAAATTCCATCAATGCCTAGCAAAGACTTTATTAATTTCCAACGTGAAAAAAGGAAAACATGACGGCGTATATTCCAGGACTGCGAGACATCAAGGCCAATTCCAAATTCAATCAGGAACAATAACAGAGCAGTCATAATACCCAACAGCAACACGGAACAATACAGAAACTTACTCTTTGTGCGAACAGCCACAGATTGGAACCACCTGGACGACATCACAGTTGGGGCGCAAGGAATAGATGCATTTAAAGCATCAATCCCTACCAACTGGGATTTAACGAAACTAAGTATAGCCACAGGAGCCTGAAGTTCTGTCAATAATGAATAATAATAGTAATACAAAAAAAATACCTCTAATATGCTTAAAAAATAGCATATTAGAGGTATTTTTTTTGTATTACTATGCTATTACAGGTACAGTACACTCTGCCGATTGAGCTATATAGCTATAAAGACCTATATAGCTATATACACCTATAAATTATAGCTGTATTGAGCTATATTTTCTCAGATTTCAAATTTCATTAAATTAAAGCAAAGTCGCATAAAACAAAAAGGTTTATGGTAATGTTGACTACAAAGATTTTTTTACATCATTATTTTTTAAAAAGAATACTTATATTTAATGTCTTTTGTTATCAGCCTAATGATACAATCTTCTTTTAAAAGCGACTTTGTTTCGTTTTCCTTAAAAAAGAAAATCACTTGAAAATAGCTCAAAAGACCTATTTCAGATAGGTCAATAGAGCTATTATAGGTACTTTACAGCTATATAGCTCAATCGGCAGAGTGTACTGGACCTGTATTATTATTCATTATTGACAGAACTTCAGGCTCCTGTGGTATAGCATGCGTACTCAACCCCCTCTACATTAAAGCCATTTTGGTCTCTGTGGAGTATAACATATAGATAGAGAGATAGATAAATAGAACATATCTATAGATAGAAGTAAACACGACATCTGCCATATATCCTCGATATCTAAAACAACTGTTTCACCTGGCAGCCGAAAGGGCAAACATTGGAATGTAAAGTGTCCCCATTTGGGTACAGTGATGTTACTAATTTAAAACAATCAGTTTACCAATCCGCTATTTGGTATGCGATGCATCTTCGATTAGTGCAGCTCGTTGACAGCCTGATGTAACCTCAACCGGTGTTACACAAGTCAAGAATCCATGTGCAGAATGGAAACTAGTCTCGTTCAACCTGACTCTTTTCGGCGCAAGCTACGCCGAGTGATAAAGCGTCTGGTTGAACGAGACTAAACCAAATAGAAAACGAAAATGATCGCGCGAGTGCGGTCACACTATAACTCTTACATTTGCAAAATACGACATAGCGATGAATAAGACAAGACTGATCAATTCTATCTATTTATGAATTTAAACATAGAATAAATTAATAACAATTTAAAATGGTTAGACATGAACATATTTTATATAAATTTTAGAATTTATTTACAACAGTTTGTCAGGCTTCATACCAAAAATCCACCAGCCAAATATGAAGATTATGTACCTTTCAGTTCTTCAAAAAAGTCGTTTCAAGTGTTTGACCCATGTGACCTTGATATTAGGTCAATGTCATTTTCGTTCTCAAACTTTGTTGGGCTCATACATTGTGTACCAACATTAAGCTAACCAGCCAAATATTAAGATTCTATGTATACCTTTCAGTTATTCAGAAGAAGTAGTTTTAAGTATTTGACACTTTTTACCCCTGTAACCTTGAGAGTAGGTCAAGGTCATTTTCGTTCTCAAACTTTGTTGTTGGACTCTTACCAATTAATATTTTCCCAAATGCTCATCTGTAACCTACGATGAATTAAGTCACTCGGGGGTCAAGGTCAAATTGATTAAAATGGGCTGAATATCATAACCCTTCTGTTCACCCACAGGGGCACGTTACAAATGTCTGAAATACACACATATGCTATACTGATATCATCCAGGGTCACATGTATGTGTGTTGTAACCCATATAAATAAAGAATATGTGTGTATTTCAGACATTTGTAACGTGCCCCTGTGGTTCACCTTATCTTTGTAAGATGAATTTATGACTCTACATCATTATGGATCTTTGATGTTACTCGATGTCACTCATTGAATAGGTTATATCACTCATTCCACAGGTGATAATAATTCTATAAGTGATAAATCCTTTAATAAGTGAAATCACTCTCATTAGGTGATATAACTCAATCAACAGGTGCTATTACTCATTCAGCAGGTGATTTCATGCATTCAATAGGCAATGGTCACCAATTCAATAGGTAATTCACTCAATCAATAAGTGACATCACTCATGTAACAGGTAATGTGATATCGGTCATTCAATAAGTGATATATCACCTATTCAAAATTTGAATTTCTGATATATCACCTATTTGAATCGATGTTAAACTGATAATACCACTTTACTATAGTTAATTCATAAAGATAACAATTTCATTCTAAATAGATATTTTCAATCCTTTTTAGTGATACATCATTATAAATTGGAATGGTGACATCACCAAACAGGATTAAAAAGTGCAAGAGCCTACTGCCTCATTGCATTACAATTATGAAGTAGCATCAGGTATCAAAGTCACAGTAAGGTAAAAGAGATCAACTTGTTCCATCAGAAGTATTGATAAAACAAGATATTAATCTGTAAATAAAACAAGAGGTCTGGATGGCCTGTATCATTCACTTGAAAATATATACAAATTTATTGCAATATAGTCCAATTTGGGCTTCTCAGTACTTAGAGGGATAAAATCCTTCCTTGATATATTATTTGATTCCTAAATGGTCTAAAGTTGCATCATAACATATTTGGTTAATATAAGAAAACTTGTCAGGATCACAATTACCCGGTAAGACTTAAACACCCAAATTATCCCCTTTAGGGCATTGCCCTTCAGAGCCCCAAGGGGAGCAACACTCCTTTTTTATACAACAATCGGTTGCTAGGTCCCAAGAACACTTTAAAGGTTGAAGTGGTTTTTTTGTAACAGATATACAGTTTAACAGTATAGTGGCTGGGGTAAATTATGATCCATGGAGTAAGTTTCCAGGGGTCGGGCTAGATCCGTTTCTGATGGACAACAGATGGTACGCCAAGGCATCAGCCCAGCAGTCCTTTGGACCAGGCAAGCTAGAAATTGATGCAACAGTTATTACATACCATGATTTGGAACCAAATCATATCGTAGAGACCCGTCCTATAAATTTGATGTTTAAATATTGTACCATATTATACCACAGGAAAAGAAACAAGAGGCCCAATGGGCCTGCATCGCTCACCTGGTATTAATCTCACTCTTGCAATATTAAAAGTGGACTAAAATACAGCTACAAGCAGAATATCAGTATTTGATTCATAAGAACCTATTAAACGATTTAAACATACGACACCCGTGACCTTGAATGTCGAACAAGGACATTAGCTTGAAAGTGGGTCAAGGTCATTCATTTGAACAAACTTCGTAGCTCTTCATCCCAGCATGCTACAGGCCCAATTTCAGTTCCCTGGGCCTTTTGGTTATTGAGAAGAAGTGGTTTGAAGATTTAAAGACATTTGACCCCTGTGACCTTGAAAGTTGGTCAAGGTAATTCATTTGAACAAAATTGGTAGCCCTTTATCCCAGCATACTACAGGCCCAATATCAGTTCACTGGGCCTTTTGGTTATTGAGGAGAAGTCATTTGAAGATTTTAAGACATCTTACCCCAGTGACCTTGAAAGTGGGTCAAGGTCATTCATTTTAACAAACTTGGTAGCCCTTCATTCCAGCATGCTACAGACTCAATATCAGTACCCTGGGCCTTTTGGTTATTGAGAAGTCGTTTGAAGATTTTAAGACATCTGACCCCAGTGACCTTGAATATCGGTGAAGGTCATTTATTTGAACAAACTTGGTAGCCCTTCATCTCAGCATGCTACTTGCCAAATAACATCACCCTGGGCATTTCAGTTATTCAGAAGTTGTTTAAAGTTTTTAACATATTTGACCCCTGTGACCTTGAATATAGGTGAAGGTCAGTTATTTTAACAAACTTGGTAGCCCTTCATCCCAGTTTGCTTCTGGCCAAATATCACCACCCCAGGCCTTGCGGTTATAATAAGAAGAAGTTGTTTAAAGTAAAACATTGACGCCGGACGACAGACAACGGACGCTGCACCATGCCATAAGCTCACTTGGCCCTTGGGTCCAGGTGAGCTGAAAATCAAATGAAAGGCATATCTGTGTCGCCGTATCACCACTCAAATTTTAATTATTGACAAACATCTCTTTTTGCAAATGGATTTAGAATGCTATATAATATAAAGATGTATAATACATTGCAAAATTTGATCAAAAAGTTTTGAAAGATGTAAGAACAAAAACACAGTGTATTGTATTTCAGGTTTGCATTTATTGTTTAGAACAAAGTACAAGTGGTTGACATGAAAGCCCAATACATATACATGCGGTGGTAAATGAGTGCATACATTTTCCCTGTGTTGCCAGTTACACTGTACTATTGTTCACTAGTTACACTGTCCTAGTGTTGCCTAGTTACACTGGTTATATTGTCCTAATGCTGCCTAGTTACACTGTCCTAGTGTTGCCTGGTAACACTATCCTAGTGTTGCCTAGTTACACTGTCCTAGTGTTGCCTAGTTTCACTGTCCTAGTATTGCCTACTTACTCTATTGTAGTGTTGCCTAGTTACACTATCCTAATGTTGCCTAGTTACACTGTCCTAGCGTTGCCTAGTTACACTGTCCTAGTGTTGCCTAGGTACACCATCCTAGTGTTGCCTAGTTACACTATCCTAAAGTTGCCTAGTTCACTATCCTAGTGTAGGTTACTTACACTGTCCTATTTTGCCCAGTTACACCGTCCTTAGTGTTACATTTTTCTAATGTACTGTTAATTGTCTTAGTTTAGAACTTGTTAATGAGTTACATTATCCAAATATATGTACTAGTGTAAATCAGTTACATCATGATTGTTTTTTTACAACATGTAGTAGTTACATTTAACTAGTTTTGCCAACATTTAATTACATCGTAACTAGTGTTGACCTGCACTTGTTACATTATATTTGGTGTAGACAACTTATATTGTCTAGTTTTCAATAAAAAAACATTTAATTGTTACTACCATCAAATATGGTACTGTTACTAGTATTGAATAGATATATGTAAATAGCATTGACTAGATACATTGTAACTAGCATTGAATAGACACACTGTAACTAGTGTTAACAAGATATATTAAAACTAGACCAACTATAACGAAAGATACATTGTAACTGACGTTGATCAGTAACACTGTAACCAGCACTGACAGATACATTGTAACTGGCGTTGATCAGTCACACTGTAACCAGCACTAACAGATCCATTGTAACTGGCGTTGATCAGAAACACTGTAACCAGCACTAACAGATCCATTGTAACTGGCGTTGATCAGAAACACTGTAACCAGCACTAACAGATCCATTGTAACTGGCGTTGACCAGTACCACTGTAACCAGCACTGTCATATACATTGTAACTGGCGTTGATCAGAAACACTGTAACCAGCACTAACAGATCCATTGTAACTGGCGTTGATCAGTCACACTGTAACCAGCACTAACAGATCCATTGTAACTGGCGTTGATCAGTCACACTGTAACCAGCACTAACAGATCCATTGTAACTGGCGTTGATCAGAAACACTGTAACCAGCACCGACAGATACATTGTAACTAGCATTAAATAGACACACTGTAACTAGTGTTACCAAGATATATTAAAACTAGACCAACTATAACGAAAGATACATTGTATCTGACGTTGATCAGTAACCCTGTAACCAGCACTGACAGAGACATTGTAACTGGCGTTGATCAGTCACACTGTAACCAGCACTGTCATATACATTGTAACTGGCGTTGATCAGTCACACTGTAACCAGCACTGACAGATACATTGTAACTGGCGTTGATCAATAACCTTGTAACCAGAGTTGACAGATACATTGTAACTCAAACTGACTAGTAGGTACGTATACACTGCAGTTAGTGCTGAATAGTAGCATTGTACTACAGCCAACCAGGTAAAATGTTCACTCAAAATGATGTTAGGTTTACAAGTAATGTGTGGTAGGTATAATGTTCACATATAACTATATACATTGTTCATCTGTAATCAACAAGATATATGTTTACGTATAATGTTCACATATAACTATATACATTGTTCATCTG